TCAGCACAGCACAGGCATGAATGTGCTCTCAATGCAAATGCCCTGGCCTCACAGTCCTCAGTCAACCTGTCTGCTGTTTGCAAATGATGAAACTGATAGTCAGTTCAACAGGTTTACAGTTTCTTTTTCATGCTCTGTTTGATCAGATCGAGTTTAACAACAAATTATTGAAAATGCAGATTTACAGTAAATTTACCCATAATTTCATACAAAGTAAAAGATTTGGTACAAACCATGTTGTATTTAGATTATTTTGTTATTATTGTGTTACTGTACTAACTTTCGCAATCGTGCAACAGTTACTAACAAAACAATTATTGTGTGTTTTTTTTGTTACTCATGCTACGAAAGTTCTTTGGTTATCAGAAAGATGACAAGATGTGCCTTTTCCTGCAAACTCACACTACAGTTACCTAACTCTAGTTCATGTGAAGGAAGGAGGTAAATAATAGAACTCTACAACTTTTACTATGAGAGGCTCTTTAATGTTTATTGCATGATAAAACAAGAACGTGATAGACAGGCCCAGGTCACAAATAATTACCCACTGGTGCTAACACTTAGCACCTGCATGATAGCATGCAGCACGTTAACACAAAGCTAGTAGCAAAGAACACTCCATGCAGACACCAACCAAGCCAAGCTTAATGAGGAATGATGAGCACTCATTATCAACTTTCATGTCAGCTTTGTGATAATACTTCAAAGGTGAAGGTAGGACAAATAACCTAGCATGTCTTTGGTAAAACAGAAGCACCCAGGAGAAACCCATGTGGGGACAGGGAGAACATACATCGCCATACAGAAAGGCCCCAGCTGACTTGAGCATTCAAGCCCAGAACCTTCATGCTGTTTGCATTTTTGCAATACGTCATAATGTTTAACCATTTTATACTTAAGATCCCTGAAGTATTTACAGCACATATTTGTAGCACGGTGACTCAGTCAGACAGTCATAGCTTTCAATCTCTTCTCTTCAGGACTGAGTCTACTTTGCTCCCAAAATGGTTTATGTAGTTAATGACTTTGTGGTATCTTTTCATGGTTATTTATGTGGGTCTCTCACGAACACGATGGAGTAGCCAAAAAGTCAACAAACTGTGGAAGGTTTAGTCCTGAAATAAATCTGAAACCCAAGCTGTAAGTCACAGTAGCTATGTTTACAGTAATGTTTCCTAACCACTTAGTTTTTAGTGTGCCTCCTTAACATACCTGTAGTACAGATGCAAATATGGCATCTGTATGTTAAATGTGGGCCAAAAGCTTGCTGAATCACATCCAACCCGCTAAAGTTCACTGGTTAACAGGTAAAAATAAATTGCCATGGGTCTGAACACATGGGCACATTTAAGCAGCTTGGCCAAATAAAAGACAGAGGCAAAAAAAAAAAAAAAGACAGAATTACATCAGCGTTTTATACTCTGACCCTCAGGCCTTGAGTCAGGGAGACACAAAAGAGGACACAAGAGTAAGTCAGCTCTGCCACTGTGTTGCTGTGTTGACTCATTAGACATAGTACTAAAAATATAATTCAAATAGCAATGGAATTTTTGACTAGTGTCTGATTTTGGAATTTTCCTTCATGACCGTAAACATATTTTTAACATAAACTGATGCAGGAACGGTCCTCTTTGAGTGCTTCACTTGATGTTTAAGCAAAACCTACTGCCATTTACAGTCAGAAGTAACCATTTACTTTTTGTTTCCTCTAAATCGAACTGCTGTTAAAAATAGCCCTGACCAGTTGCAGTTTTTCCTCCTGTTGAAATTATATTTCCTGAAAACAGCAGTGCTCAGGTGTTTCATGACGTCATGGATCTCTGAGCCATTGTTAAAAATCAAAGCGTGTGACACCTGTAAAAATGTACAGCACCTGTAAAAATTTGTTTATTGAACTCACTGTTTGACATTTCAAGAAAACAAAGAATGCAGTCAGGGCTTGGGACATTATTTAGTTTATTATTTAGTTTAGTTCTTAAAAGAGAGTGATGAGAATATGATGCAGTTCAACTGAATTTAATTGAGTGTAAGTGCTGATTGAACTCTTTTAAGCAGAAATTCTGCTAATTGAACTCTTTTCAGCAGAAATTCTGCTGATTCACCTCTTTTCTGCAAAGTTTTCAGCCTTTTCACCTCTTAACAGCACAATTCTCAGCCGCTTCTGCTAATTTCAGCACAATTGTCAGTCTCTCCACCACTTCTTTGTGAGAAAGAGTTTGGTGCAATGAGATGAATAGCCGCATTGAGACCTGAAGGGCCAGGTTCGAATCCTGCTCAGGGCAATGTTGTTGTTTTTTTTTCTTTATTCAACCTTTTCAGCTTTTTTCAGCAGACATCTTTAACGTTAAGGCATCCACACAGCATTTTCGCAGGAAATGAAAAATTTTCTAGTTCTTTATTCCACTATTTACTAGTTACTTCCGTACACTTTTTGGCACTCAACTACTCCCACAGTTTTTATCCGATTTTCGCCATTCAAACTTTAAAAAATTCTGCTCTTTCTGCTAATGTGTGCTATGACTTTTGGTGCTCATAACTTCTATACTTTTTGAGACGTTGCCCACAAAATTACAGATATAATGGTGACTTAGCTGCCCGTTGGATAAACCCATGGACCTTAGAAAAGATCAACACTAGTGATGTGACGTTCTGTATCGAGGCTTCGAAGCTTGTGTCGAGTAATTGAGGGAGCGTTTCCGCGATGCACGTATCGAGGCTTGCTTCATTTATGGGAGGAGCTGAAAATGATGACGTCCGAAGCCTCACTGCCCGGCTGTACCACGTGACTGGTTCATGAAGTGGTTCGAACTTTGCCGCGAGATATGACAGCGATATAAACCCCTCAGACTTCATTCAGAAATGTGGGTGTTTGATGGAGAGTTGCGGTTAGTGAGAGTTTGGAGACAGTTTGGAGGTTTATGAGAGTGAGGAGAGAAAGTCAGGAGAGAATGGAGCCAGCTAAGAAGAGGATGTCCTCCCCTGTGTGGGAACATTTTGATCCTCCCAACAAGGTATGTAAATTTCAGAAGATGTATTTTCATAATACTGATGGTGCAATACAATTTATGTTAAGCTGTCTTGACTTTTGTACAAGGTGAAGTGTTTGCTATGTGCCAGGGAGCTGGGATATAACAACAACACCTCATCCATGCTTAGGCACTACAGAGCTTTGCATGAGAATAAGGGGAACACCAATTGTGGAGCAAGACCAGGTCAGCCATCAAATGCAATGATAATATAGCATGCCGTAATGTTACTAAATGATATAACAATATTATACAACTGTTATAAGTTAAGTGTAAAGTGTGCGTGTTAGTCCCCATAGGGAAATAGTTCCTCTGCATTTAACCCATTCACCCAGTGAAGCAGTGGGCAGCCACCAATGCAGCGCCCGGGGAGCAGTGTGTAGGGATGGTACCTTGCTCAGGGGTACCTCAGGGTAGCCGTTCAGTGGAGTCGAACCCCCGACCTTCCGATCATGGGGCCACCACTCTACCTACTGAGCTATCCCTGCCCCTGTGTGTGATATTTATATTTGTGCTTTGTCTTTATTGTCTTTCCTCAGGAGAACAATCTCAAATAGCTGAAGACCTGGTTAGCATGGTGATTGAGGACTCCTAGCCATTTAGCATTGTGGAGGACAAAGGATTCAAAAGATTTGTTAAATCATTAAATCCTAGCTATGTTCTCCCCACTAAAAAGGTCATAAAAGCAGTGAAACTTCAGTTTTTACAGAATGAAATGTGAACAGGCAGGACTGAGGCTCAAAGCCTCAGTGTGTAGCTGTCCATACCTAAACGTTACAAAAGCACAACCACTGTCCACACCCCAACCACACCTCACCTCACAGTAAATGATCATTTCCATTTTAAGCATTTCCAAATAATCATTTTCCATACTGCCAGTATAAATATACACAGTATACTGCCATCACTACAATATACATGTTTTACACACTCCTTTTGTTGTTGACATTTACAGGCTGTGTGCAAAAGGCCACACTCTTCAAATTCATGCCAACTAATATTTTTACGTCCAGTAGGTGTCCTACTAGAGCAAATGAAGCTTCAAGAAGCTTTGCGCTGGGATGAACCAATTGGATGAAAAGCTTCAGTGCTTCATGAAGCTTCATCTACCCATCACTAATCAACAATACTCGGATGTAAGCACCCGTGTATAACACAATAGGCAAAATTACGCTTGCTAACCTTTCCACATCACAGGCTTCTCATTAAATAAACATTTTTTTTCAAATACTCACCATGATCTGAGACCGTTTAAATATTTTGTTACTCTGAAAATATGGCAGTATGAAGCTAAACCTTTAGCTTGACGGCTAAAGCAATGCTAAGATTTACACGGAAACGATCAGCGGACATCGTTAAAGTACTATTGGTCTACATTCTTCTTCTGTGGTAGCAGCCTGGGCAGAGTAACAGCCAACTTTAAACTGCGCCATCTGTTGGCACAAATTACAGTAGAAAACATTATTGCGACAACACGTTTTTTGGGGAAAAATAACAGAGATTGAAACTTTATTGATAATTTGTCCAAATTGAAAAATGCCCTCCTCCAAAAATATCACGTGACAACCTCATTGCCTTACAGAATTATGACGTCACACACATGTAGAATCTTACCACCATTCTGATCCTTTGATCCTTTGATCCAAAAATCTATAAATAGCGGTGAAGAGCAACGACTTTTAGTCCGTTTCTCGCAGCATTGATGTGTGCAGCATTGAACCGTTCGCCAGAAAAGCCTTTTGAAATATTTGGATCCTTTGCAATTCTAACTGTATCCAGACCCAAGATGTCTCAAACAAATCCAAAGGGACAAGAAGTTGACCCCTACACTCTTCCCTGGGATGAGCCACTAGACTCTTCCCTTTCCTCTCTTCCTTGGTGTGACCAAGTCGAACTAGAGGAAAAGCGTTTGGAAGAAATGGAGGATGAAGCGCTCAGAAACACCGAGAAGATTAAGTTCTTGATGGAGGAAAATGAGCAAAAGAGCGCTCAGCTAAAAAAGTTGTCATACCAGCTTCAAGAAAAGGAAGCTATTATTGAGGAGAAACAACAAGATCTCCATGACATGGACAAAAAGAACCAGGAGCTCCAAGGAAAGCTTGATGAAGCCCTGCAACAAAATAAAAAACTTGTCCAAGAGAAAAAACAAGACGGCACGAAGAAGAGAGGGCTGTACAGCAATCTCCAAGAAATGGAGCTAATGTACAGTGTATACAAAAAAAAGCTTGATCACACACTGCTAGAAAATGAAAAGCTTCTGCAAGAGAAAAGGCAACAGGAGTTAAAAGAGAAAGAAATGGATTCCAAGCTTCAGAGCATCAAGCAACACAATGAAAGCTTGCAAGGAAAGCTTGATGAAGCTCTTCGACAAAATAGAAAACTCCTCCAAGAGAAGAAAGAAGATGGCATGAAGAAGAGAGGGCTGCACAGCAACCTCCGAGACATGGAGCTAAAGTACAATGTTGACAAAAAAAGGCTTGATCGCACAGAGCAAGCAAATGAGAAGCTCCTCCAAGAGAAAAGGGAACAAGAAAGCAAACAAAAAGAAATGGATTCCAATCTTCAGAGCATCAAGCAACAAAATGAAAGCTTGCAAGGAAAGCTCGATGAAGCTCTGCGACAAAATAAAGCAATCCTTCAAGAGAAAGAGCAGCTGGACAGAAAGCAGGGAGACATGGAGTGCCAACTCCAGCTCATGGAGGGAAATGACAGGATGCTGCAGGTAAAGTTCAATGAGACACTGCACAAATATCAAGACCTGCTTCAAGAAAGAGAACAGCTGGTCAGTAAGCAGAGAGAAGAAAAACTTCTTCTCCAGGAGTTTGAGAAGAACAACCAAAACCTGCAAGAACTTTACAACAAACTGAAGTTCAAAGCATCTGAGCTGGAAGGAGAAAATGAAAAACTACAAAAACAGGAGGTAACATCTAAAGTGCTGACAGAAAGGTTGGAAGAAAAACAAGGCGAAAAAGAAGAAGTGGTGAAAAAATGCAACAAGCTGCAGAAGCAAAACACCGAAACAATCGACGAGCTGATCCTCATCCTTGAGAAAAAGCAGAAAAAGAAAAAACGCTTCTGCTTCTTCTCGAGGAAGAACACTCCTTCTCTCACTACTGCCAATGTCACCTCTTCTTCCCCCACCTCTATTCCAGCTTAATTCCCCCGCCCCCCCCTTAACTACTAACACCTCTCCCATCTCCCTCCCCTCTCTTCACAGTCACCCCCAACCAGTCCCGACAGTTGACTGCCCCCTCTAGAGCCTGGTTCTGTCATAGGTTTCTTCCTTTAATTTTAAAGGGAGTTTTTCCTATCCACTGTCGCCTAGTGCTTGCTCGGAGGGGATTGTTGGGGTTTTCTCTCCTCTCTCCCTTTACATCCCACCCACCTTCTCTTTTTTCTTAACAATTGAACAATTAAAAACAATTGGCTGCTAATTAAATGTGTCAAATCAATGTCTTTATTCAAGAATACAAGAAATGGGTAATAGCTGCATGTGTGTTTGTGTGTGTGCATAATATGCATACTTTACGTGTTGGATCCAAATCCCACAAGGAATTAAATAAAACAAGAAGACAAACAAAAACAAATATTTCTCTCCCTTCCCAGGTCAGGAATCAGGATGAGGAAGAAATGAGGTCAGATCAGTGCAGGTTTTTGCACTACTGACATAAAGTTTCTGCTGATTAAAAAAAGTATGTCGATATTTCTGAAATACATTTGCAAACAAATAACTTTGACAACTTGTGTTTTTTCATAAAAGAAAAAAGAAAAATCAGAGAGCAGAGCTGGTAAAACAGCTTAGCTCCGCAGGTTACAGGAGATCAGATGCCAAATACTTTTCATGACAGTCTTCGTTATTGCATAAATCTCCCCTTTTATCATTGATCAGTAAATCACTGCATATACATTCATCTAACCGTTATAATTTCATGAGTAAAGATTCTCAGATGACTGAATGGCGGTTTTAGTAAATGTTGAACTTTATTGTGATTTCTATTTTTAGAATCAATAGCACACATTTTGATTTAGTTTTGCAAGCTGCTGATTTCACACAGATCCACTGCCCAAACGTGCCTTTGAGCTTTTCATCATTTAACAAGAATAGGCTCAGGCAATCATTGTGTAATTAGGCTTTGGGAAGGTCTGGGGACAGGTATGATGGTGGTGGTTTTAAAGCACTGTGGCACAACAGCTTGACTCAGGGAGATGTTAAAGATGCCCGCTAGGACATCAGTCAGCTGGTCAGCACGGGCTCCGAGCACGCGTCCAGGTATATTGTCTGGTCCAGCAACTTTGTGTGGGTTGACTTTAGTGAGAGTCCTTCTCACACTGGCCGTGGACAGGGACAGCACTTGGTTGTCTGGCAAGGGGCTGGCCCTCTATAGTCCATCTTGCGTCCCACTTAAACAAGTGCGTGTTCACACTGCCCCTGGATGTCCTGGCCTCTGAGGTTAAGGTGTATGGCTCCTGGTTGTCAACTGACCAATTTATCATGGCAAAGTCTGTGGTGGACAAAAGATAAGAGGCTGATTATAAAAATGATCCATGCACGCCTTATGACCTACAGCATGTACAGTTAACACAGCTAAATGGCTGTGAAATTGTAAAATTACTTTTGAAATAAAGCTATTCAAAGTCAATTAACTGTGACTATAATAATAGCAATGTTAGCCAGCAAACAAAGCGTTAGCACTAATTAAAATAAGCTGCTAGGTGATGTTACCGTTTCAAGTTCTCTCATTGTTTGACATGTAGGGCAGATATTTTGGTGACACTGAGATTAGCCAGACACTAAACAGCAGTGTAATATCAACGCTAGATTAGATGTTTTCTAATCCGATAAAATGACATTATTCCTGTTTATAGAAGATGTTTGTCGTCTGTTTGTTTGACTGACAGGAACAGGAAATAGTGGTTGGAAATTACTGTTGGCGTTACATGAGGGTAAAGAAGGGCTTTAAGCACCTGGGTAAAAACTGGACCCATGATGAAACACTACAACAAGTACAACATATTCTTCAGTTTTAATATGTGACCATACTGTGCAGACTGCTGATGAGTTACACGGTTACATTTCATTAGTCATTGTTAAACTAAAGTGGTAAGCAGTTACTTTATCCTTTCACTTAAAATTTCCAGGAAAAACACTACCTTGGCTACTTTTGTGCTTACATTTGATCTATGCTGGGTCACTACTTTTGCACTATAATGCTGCTGCTGACACCTTGGTTCACACTGACAATTAGAAAAAAGCTGATATGAAAAGAAGGATGGAAAATGCCTGGAATTTAGTTACACTTGCAAATACTGCTGCCTCCAAACTGCAAGCATCAATAAAATGTTACAGTATTGTTTTCTATATCTGTGCATATATCCTTATTGGTAGTTTTCTCGAAATAGAAGATCTTCATTTTTAAAAAAGAAAATCTCTGATAACATTGCTGAAGCTAGCGCCCACCCCTACTGCGCGTACTGCAAATATAAAACTGATATATACTTACATCATGAAGCAGTTGATGTTTGGTTTCTGACAAATACAGTAAAGAGGTGCGTTCTCCCCCTCCATACCAGTGTTCTCAGGCACTGGTACATGGTCAGTGTCAGACACTTCACTGTCCTACAACATACCACATAGGACCACATTAGAAATGACATGTATGTAGACATGCTAATTATACCTGGCTAAATGGATGCAGTAACAAAATGTTACTTAACTACTCTAGTTATTAGTTTCCAGATGTGTGCAGTTGCTCCAGTCTTACTGACAGTATACTGTTTCAAACACCAGTGCCAACATTTTATTTTTTAAATCTTAGTATGATTCTGCACCAAGACTTGTGGCCTGTTGCTCGGTAACTTATTGTCTGACTACATTAACTACAGTTCATAAACATCATTCATTTTCTCCTACTTATTTTATTCAGGTTGTATTCCAGCTGTCATAGGGCAAAAGTACACCCTGGACAGGTCGCCAGTCTGTTGGAGGGTTATTAGAGAGACTCAGACAACCACTCACACCAACAGCCAACTAACCTAACCCGCGCATGTCTTTGGAGTTCAACACCAGTCTGGCCGAATCACAGATAAGCAGGGTGTCTGTGCTGCAGAGCACAGCTGTGTCAGAGACTCTTGACATCAATGTAGCGTTAAGGATGCGGAGCGACGGGTGCACTAACGTAATGAAATTATGAGAGTGATCGTCATTGTCTCTATGTTGTTGCGCCCTTATTCGTATTACTGAAACCATATATCTATTCTAGCTCACCCTAAAACTGTGGATAAAATTAATCTGTTAATAAACGTGGTCAATAATTTGGGAATGTTCTGGCAAGAACGTCGCATTCTTCCGGTGGGGAAACTAATCATAATACATAGTAATTATAATAACAATAATAAATATAATCACCGGTAAAGTCAGTTAGCGAACACTACTGGCATGTAATGCCAATGACGACCATTTCACAAACTGTCGAAAATGCTCAAAATGTTGTCAGCACCAAAAGTGAAGGGCTGACAGTTGTGTTATATACGAACCGTAAGCGCTAATGTTGGTTAGCATCAGCTAAAGCGAGGAAGTTTGACACTTGCAGAGGCAGTGAACGCAGAGAGAGCTTAAAAACGCATTGTGTGGTTTTTTAGTCTTTGCTTCGTTGCTTTGGGATTTTTTTTTTTTGCATTAAGACGTTGCCCACAAAATTACAGATATAACGGTGACTTAGCTGCTCGTTGGATAAACCCATGGACCTTAGAAAAGATCAACAATACTCGGATGTAAGCACCCGTGTATAACACAATAGGCAAAATTACGCTTGCTAACCTTTCCACATCACAGGCTTCTCATTAAATAAACATTTTTTCAAATACTCACCATGATATGAGACCGTTAAAATATTTTGTTACTCTGAAAATATGGCAGTATGAAGCTAAACCTTTAGCTTGACGGCTAAAGCAATGCTAAGATTTACACGGAAACGATCAGCGGACATCGTTAAAGTACTATTGGTCTACATTCTTCTTCTGTGGTAGCAGCCTGGCAGAGTAACAGCCAACTTTAAACTGCGCCATCTGTTGGCACAAATTACAGTAGAAAACATTATTGCGACAACACGTTTTTTGGGGAAAAATAACAGAGATTGAAACTTTATTGATAATTTGTCCAAATTGAAAAATGCCCTCCTCCAAAAATATCACGTGACAACCTCATTGCCTTACAGAATTATGACGTCACACACATGTAGAATCTTACCACCATTCTGATCCTTTGATCCTTTGATCCAAAAATCTATAAATAGCGGTGAAGAGCAACGACTTTTAGTCCGTTTCTCGCAGCATTGATGTGTGCAGCATTGAACCGTTCGCCAGAAAAGCCTTTTGAAATATTTGGATCCTTTGCAATTCTAACTGTATCCAGACCCAAGATGTCTCAAACAAATCCAAAGGGACAAGAAGTTGACCCCTACACTCTTCCCTGGGATGAGCCACTAGACTCTTCCCTTTCCTCTCTTCCTTGGTGTGACCAAGTCGAACTAGAGGAAAAGCGTTTGGAAGAAATGGAGGATGAAGCGCTCAGAAACACCGAGAAGATTAAGTTCTTGATGGAGGAAAATGAGCAAAAGAGCGCTCAGCTAAAAAAGTTGTCATACCAGCTTCAAGAAAAGGAAGCTATTATTGAGGAGAAACAACAAGATCTCCATGACATGGACAAAAAGAACCAGGAGCTCCAAGGAAAGCTTGATGAAGCCCTGCAACAAAATAAAAAACTTGTCCAAGAGAAGAAACAAGACGCCACGAAGAAGAGAGGGCTGCACAGCAATCTCCAAGAAATGGAGCTAATGTACAGTGTATACAAAAAAAGCTTGATCACACACTGCAAGAAAATGAAAAGCTTCTCCAAGAGAAAAGGCAACAGGAGTTAAAAGAGAAAGAAATGCATTCCAAGCTTCAGAGCATCAAGCAACACAATGAAAGCTTGCAAGGAAAGCTTGATGAAGCTCTTCGACAAAATAGAAAACTCCTCCAAGAGAAGAAAGAAGATGGCATGAAGAAGAGAGGGCTGCACAGCAACCTCCGAGACATGGAGCTAAAGTACAATGTTGACAAAAAAAGGCTTGATCGCACAGAGCAAGCAAATGAGAAGCTCCTCCAAGAGAAAAGGGAACAAGAAAGCAAACAAAAAGAAATGGATTCCAATCTTCAGAGCATCAAGCAACAAAATGAAAGCTTGCAAGGAAAGCTCGATGAAGCTCTGCGACAAAATAAAGCAATCCTTCAAGAGAAAGAGCAGCTGGACAGAAAGCAGGGAGACATGGAGTGCCAACTCCAGCTCATGGAGGGAAATGACAGGATGCTGCAGGTAAAGTTCAATGAGACACTGCACAAATATCAAGACCTGCTTCAAGAAAGAGAACAGCTGGTCAGTAAGCAGAGAGAAGAAAAACTTCTTCTCCAGGAGTTTGAGAAGAACAACCAAAACCTGCAAGAACTTTACAACAAACTGAAGTTCAAAGCATCTGAGCTGGAAGGAGAAAATGAAAAACTACAAAAACAGGAGGTAACATCTAAAGTGCTGACAGAAAGGTTGGAAGAAAAACAAGGCGAAAAAGAAGAAGTGGTGAAAAAATGCAACAAGCTGCAGAAGCAAAACACCGAAACAATCGAGGAGCTGATCCTCATCCTTGAGAAAAGCAGAAAAAGAAAAAACGCTTCTGCTTCTTCTCGAGGAAGAACACTCCTTCTCTCACTACTGCCAATGTCACCTCTTCTTCCCCCACCTCTATTCCAGCTTAATTCCCCCCCCCTTAACTACTAACACCTCTCCCATCTCCCTCCCCTCTCTTCACAGTCACCCCCCAACCAGTCCCGACAGTTGACTGCCCCCTCTAGAGCCTGGTTCTGTCATAGGTTTCTTCCTTTAATTTTAAAGGGAGTTTTTCCTATCCACTGTCGCCTAGTGCTTGCTCGGAGGGGATTGTTGGGGTTTTCTCTCCTCTCTCCCTTTACATCCCACCCACCTTCTCTTTTTTCTTAACAATTGAACAATTAAAAACAATTGGCTGCTAATTAAATGTGTCAAATCAATGTCTTTATTCAAGAATACAAGAAATGGGTAATAGCTGCATGTGTGTTTGTGTGTGTGCATAATATGCATACTTTACGTGTTGGATCCAAATCCCACAAGGAATTAAATAAAACAAGAAGACAAACAAAAACAAATATTTCTCTCCCTTCCCAGGTCAGGAATCAGGATGAGGAAGAAATGAGGTCAGATCAGTGCAGGTTTTTGCACTACTGACATAAAGTTTCTGCTGATTAAAAAAAGTATGTCGATATTTCTGAAATACATTTGCAAACAAATAACTTTGACAACTTGTGTTTTTTCATAAAAGAAAAAGAAAAATCAGAGAGCAGAGCTGGTAAAACAGCTTAGCTCCGCAGGTTACAGGAGATCAGATGCCAAATACTTTTCATGACAGTCTTCGTTATTGCATAAATCTCCCCTTTTATCATTGATCAGTAAATCACTGCATATACATTCATCTAACCGTTATAATTTCATGAGTAAAGATTCTCAGATGACTGAATGGCGGTTTTAGTAAATGTTGAACTTTATTGTGATTTCTATTTTTAGAATCAATAGCACACATTTTGATTTAGTTTTGCAAGCTGCTGATTTCACACAGATCCACTGCCCAAACGTGCCTTTGAGCTTTTCATCATTTAACAAGAATAGGCTCAGGCAATCATTGTGTAATTAGGCTTTGGGAAGGTCTGGGGACAGGTATGATGGTGGTGGTTTTAAAGCACTGTGGCACAACCGCTTGACTCAGGGAGATGTTAAAGATGCCCGCTAGGACATCAGTCAGCTGGTCAGCACGGGCTCCGAGCACGCGTCCAGGTATATTGTCTGGTCCAGCAACTTTGTGTGGGTTGACTTTAGTGAGAGTCCTTCTCACACTGGCCGTGGACAGGGACAGCACTTGGTTGTCTGGCAAGGGGCTGGCCCTCTATAGTCCATCTTGCGTCCCACTTAAACAAGTGCGTGTTCACACTGCCCTGGATGTCCTGGCCTCTGAGGTTAAGGTGTATGGCTCCTGGTTGTCAACTGACCAATTTATCATGGCAAAGTCTGTGGTGGACAAAAGATAAGAGGCTGATTATAAAAATGATCCATGCACGCCTTATGACCTACAGCATGTACAGTTAACACAGCTAAATGGCTGTGAAATTGTAAAATTACTTTTGAAATAAAGCTATTCAAAGTCAATTAACTGTGACTATAATAATAGCAATGTTAGCCAGCAAACAAAGCGTTAGCACTAATTAAAATAAGCTGCTAGGTGATGTTACCGTTTCAAGTTCTCTCATTGTTTGACATGTAGGGCAGATATTTTGGTGACACTGAGATTAGCCAGACACTAAACAGCAGTGTAATATCAACGCTAGATTAGATGTTTTCTAATCCGATAAAATGACATTATTCCTGTTTATAGAAGATGTTTGTCGTCTGTTTGTTTGACTGACAGGAACAGGAAATAGTGGTTGGAAATTACTGTTGGCGTTACATGAGGGTAAAGAAGGGCTTTAAGCACCTGGGTAAAAACTGGACCCATGATGAAACACTACAACAAGTACAACATATTCTTCAGTTTTAATATGTGACCATACTGTGCAGACTGCTGATGAGTTACACGGTTACATTTCATTAGTCATTGTTAAACTAAAGTGGTAAGCAGTTACTTTATCCTTTCACTTAAAATTTCCAGGAAAAACACTACCTTGGCTACTTTTGTGCTTACATTTGATCTATGCTGGGTCACTACTTTTGCACTATAATGCTGCTGCTGACACCTTGGTTCACACTGACAATTAGAAAAAAGCTGATATGAAAAGAAGGATGGAAAATGCCTGGAATTTAGTTACACTTGCAAATACTGCTGCCTCCAAACTGCAAGCATCAATAAAATGTTACAGTATTGTTTTCTATATCTGTGCATATATCCTTATTGGTAGTTTTCTCGAAATAGAAGATCTTCATTTTTAAAAAAGAAAATCTCTGATAACATTGCTGAAGCTAGCGCCCACCCCTACTGCGCGTACTGCAAATATAAAACTGATATATACTTACATCATGAAGCAGTTGATGTTTGGTTTCTGACAAATACAGTAAAGAGGTGCGTTCTCCCCCTCCATACCAGTGTTCTCAGGCACTGGTACATGGTCAGTGTCAGACACTTCACTGTCCTACAACATACCACATAGGACCACATTAGAAATGACATGTATGTAGACATGCTAATTATACCTGGCTAAATGGATGCAGTAACAAAATGTTACTTAACTACTCTAGTTATTAGTTTCCAGATGTGTGCAGTTGCTCCAGTCTTACTGACAGTATACTGTTTCAAACACCAGTGCCAACATTTTATTTTTTAAATCTTAGTATGATTCTGCACCAAGACTTGTGGCCTGTTGCTCGGTAACTTATTGTCTGACTACATTAACTACAGTTCATAAACATCATTCATTTTCTCCTACTTATTTTATTCAGGTTGTATTCCAGCTGTCATAGGGCAAAAGTACACCCTGGACAGGTCGCCAGTCTGTTGGAGGGTTATTAGAGAGACTCAGACAACCACTCACACCAACAGCCAACTAACCTAACCCCGCGCATGTCTTTGGAGTTCAACACCAGTCTGGCCGAATCACAGATAAGCAGGGTGTCTGTGCTGCAGAGCACAGCTGTGTCAGAGACTCTTGACATCAATGTAGCGTTAAGGATGCGGAGCGACGGGTGCACTAACGTAATGAAATTATGAGAGTGATCGTCATTGTCTCTATGTTGTTGCGCCCTTATTCGTATTACTGAAACCATATATCTATTCTAGCTCACCCTAAAACTGTGGATAAAATTGATCTGTTAATAAACGTGGTCAATTATTTGGGAATGTTCTGGCAAGAACGTCGCATTCTTCCGGTGGGGAAACTAATCATAATACATAGTAATTATAATAACAATAATAAATATAATCACCGGTAAAGTCAGTTAGCGAACACTACTGGCATGTAATGCCAATGACGACCATTTCACAAACTGTCGAAAATGCTCAAAATGTTGTCAGCACCAAAAGTGAAGGGCTGACAGTTGTGTTATATACGAACCGTAAGCGCTAATGTTGGTTAGCATCAGCTAAAGCGAGGAAGTTTGACACTTGCAGAGGCAGTGAACGCAGAGAGAGCTTAAAAACGCATTGTGTGGTTTTTTAGTCTTTGCTTCGTTGCTTTGGGATTTTTTTTTTTGCATTAAGACGTTGCCCACAAAATTACAGATATAACGGTGACTTAGCTGCTCGTTGGATAAACCCATGGACCTTAGAAAAGATCAACAATACTCGGATGTAAGCACCCGTGTATAACACAATAGGCAAAATTACGCTTGCTAACCTTTCCACATCACAGGCTTCTCATTAAATAAACATTTTTTTCAAATACTCACCATGATATGAGACCGTTTAAATATTTTGTTACTCTGAAAATATGGCAGTATGAAGCTAAACCTTTAGCTTGACGGCTAAAGCAATGCTAAGATTTACACGGAAACGATCAGCGGACATCGTTAAAGTACTATTGGTCTACATTCTTCTTCTGTGGTAGCAGCCTGGGCAGAGTAACAGCCAACTTTAAACTGCGCCATCTGTTGGCACAAATTACAATAGAAAACATTATTGCGACAACACGTTTTTTGGGAAAATAACAGAGATTGAAACTTTATTGATAATTTGTCCAAATTGAAAAATGCCCTCCTCCAAAAATATCACGTGACAACCTCATTGCCTTACAGAATTATGACGTCACACACATGTAGAATCTTACCACCATTCTGATCCTTTGATCCTTTGATCCAAAAATCTATAAATAGCGGTGAAGAGCAACGACTTTTAGTCCGTTTCTCGCAGCATTGATGTGTGCAGCATTGAACCGTTCGCCAGAAAAGCCTTTTGAAATATTTGGATCCTTTGCAATTCTAACTGTATCCAGACCCAAGATGTCTCAAACAAATCCAAAGGGACAAGAAGTTGACCCCTACACTCTTCCCTGGGATGAGCCACTAGACTCTTCCCTTTCCTCTCTTCCTTGGTGTGACCAAGTCGAACTAGAGGAAAAGCGTTTGGAAGAAATGGAGGATGAAGCGCTCAGAAACACCGAGAAGATTAAGTTCTTGATGGAGGAAAATGAGCAAAAGAGCGCTCAGCTAAAAAAGTTGTCATACCAGCTTCAAGAAAAGGAAGCTATTATTGAGGAGAAACAACAAGATCTCCATGACATGGACAAAAAGAACCAGGAGCTCCAAGGAAAGCTTGATGAAGCCCTGCAACAAAATAAAAAACTTGTCCAAGAGAAGAAACAAGACGGCACGAAGAAGAGAGGGCTGCACAGCAATCTCCAAGAAATGGAGCTAATGTACAGTGTATACAAAAAAAAGCTTGATCGCACACTGCTAGAAAATGAAAAGCTTCTGCAAGAGAAAAGGCAACAGGAGTTAAAAGAGAAAGAAATGGATTCCAAGCTTCAGAGCATCAAGCAACACAATGAAAGCTTGCAAGGAAAGCTTGATGAAGCTCTTCGACAAAATAGAAAACTCCTCCAAGAGAAGAAAGAAGATGGCATGAAGAAGAGAGGGCTGCACAGCAACCTCCGAGACATGGAGCTAAAGTACAATGTTGACAAAAAAGGCTTGATCGCACAGAGCAAGCAAATGAGAAGCTCCTCCAAGAGAAAAGGGAACAAGAAAGCAAACAAAAGAAATGGATTCCAATCTTCAGAGCATCAAGCAACAAAATGAAAGCTTGCAAGGAAAGCTCGATGAAGCTCTGCGACAAAATAAAGCAGTCCTTCAAGAGAAAGAGCAGCTGGACAGAAAGCAGGGAGACATGGAGTGCCAACTCCAGCTCATGGAGGGAAATGACAGGATGCTGCAGGTAAAGTTCAATGAGACACTGCACAAATATCAAGACCTGCTTCAAGAAAGAGAACAGCTGGTCAGTAAGCAGAGAGAAGAAAAACTTCTTCTCCAGGAGTTTGAGAAGAACAACCAAAACCTGCAAGAACTTTACAACAAACTGAAGTTCAAAGCATCTGAGCTGGAAGGAGAAAATGAAAAACTACAAAAACAGGAGGTAACATCTAAAGTGCTGACAGAAAGGTTGGAAGAAAAACAAGGCGAAAAAGAAGAAGTGGTGAAAAAATGCAACAAGCTGCAGAAGCAAAACACCGAAACAATCGAGGAGCTGATCCTCATCCTTGAGAAAAAGCAGAAAAAGAAAAAACGCTTCTGCTTCTTCTCGAGGAAGAACACTCCTTCTCTCACTACTGCCAATGTCACCTCTTCTTCCCCCACCTCTATTCCAGCTTAATTCCCCCCCCCCCCCCCCCCCCCTTAACTACTAACACCTCTCCCATCTCCCTCCCCTCTCTTCACAGTCACCCCCCAACCAGTCCCGACAGTTGACTGCCCCCTCTAGAGCCTGGTTCTGTCATAGGTTTCTTCCTTTAATTTTAAAGGGAGTTTTTCCTATCCACTGTCGCCTAGTGCTTGCTCGGAGGGGATTGTTGGGGTTTTCTCTCCTCTCTCCCTTTACATCCCACCCACCTTCTCTTTTTTCTTAACAATTGAACAATTAAAAACAATTGGCTGCTAATTAAATGTGTCAAATCAATGTCTTTATTCAAGAATACAAGTAATGGGTAATAGCTGCATGTGTGTTTGTGTGTGTGTATAATATGCATACTTTACTTGTTGGATCCAAATCCCACAAGGAATTAAATAAAACAAGAAGACAAACAAAAACAAATATTTCTCTCCCTTCCCAGGTCAGGAATCAGGATGAGGAAGAAATGAGGTCAGATCAGTGCAGGTTTTTGCACTACTGACATAAAGTTTCTGCTGATTAAAAAAAGTATGTCGATATTTCTGAAATACATTTGCAAACAAATAACTTTGACAACTTGTGTTTTTTCATAAAAGAAAAAAGAAAAATCAGAGAGCAGAGCTGGTAAAACAGCTTAGCTCCGCAGGTTACAGGAGATCAGATGCCAAATACTTTTCATGACAGTCTTCGTTATTGCATAAATCTCCCCTTTTATCATTGATCAGTAAATCACTGCATATACATTCATCTAACCGTTATAATTTCATGAGTAAAGATTCTCAGATGACTGAATGGCGGTTTTAGTAAATGTTGAACTTTATTGTGATTTCTATTTTTAGAATCAATAGCACACATTTTGATTTAGTTTTGCAAGCTGCTGATTTCACACAGATCCACTGCCCAAACGTGCCTTTGAGCTTTTCATCATTTAACAAGAATAGGCTCAGGCAATCATTGTGTAATTAGGCTTTGGGAAGGTCTGGGGACAGGTATGATGGTGGTGGTTTTAAAGCACTGTGGCACAACAGCTTGACTCAGGGAGATGTTAAAGATGCCCGCTAGGACATCAGTCAGCTGGTCAGCACGGGCTCCGAGCACGCGTCCAGGTATATTGTCTGGTCCAGCAACTTTGTGTGGGTTGACTTTAGTGAGAGTCCTTCTCACACTGGCCGTGGACAGGGACAGCACTTGGTTGTCTGGCAAGGGGGTGGCCCTCTATAGTCCATCTTGCGTCCCACTTAAACAAGTGCGTGTTCACACTGCCCCTGGATGTCCTGGCCTCTGAGGTTAAGGTGTACGGCTCCTGGTTGTCAACTGACCAATTTATCATGGCAAAGTCTGTGGTGGACAAAAGATAAGAGGCTGATTATAAAAATGATCCATGCATGCCTTATGACCTACAGCATGTACAGTTAACACAGCTAAATGGCTGTGAAATTGTAAAATTACTTTTGAAATAAAGCTATTCAAAGTCAATTAACTGTGACTATAATAATAGCAATGTTAGCCAGCAAACAAAGCGTTAGCACTAATTAAAATAAGCTGCTAGGTGATGTTACCGTTTCAAGTTCTCTCATTGTTTGACATGTAGGGCAGATATTTTGGTGACACTGAGATTAGCCAGACACTAAACAGCAGTGTAATATCAACGCTAGATTAGATGTTTTCTAATCCGATAAAATGACATTATTCCTGTTTATAGAAGATGTTTGTCGTCTGTTTGTTTGACTGACAGGAACAGGAAATAGTGGTTGGAAATTACTGTTGGCGTTACATGAGGGTAAAGAAGGGCTTTAAGCACCTGGGTAAAAACTGGACCCATGATGAAACACTACAACAAGTACAACATATTCTTCAGTTTTAATATGTGACCATACTGTGCAGACTGCTGATGAGTTACACGGTTACATTTCATTAGTCATTGTTAAACTAAAGTGGTAAGCAGTTACTTTATCCTTTCACTTAAAATTTCCAGGAAAAACACTACCTTGGCTACTTTTGTGCTTACATTTGATCTATGCTGGGTCACTACTTTTGCACTATAATGCTGCTGCTGACACCTTGGTTCACACTGACAATTAGAAAAAAGCTGATATGAAAAGAAGGATGGAAAATGCCTGGAATTTAGTTACACTTGATGATGTCACTTCCGGTTTTGGACAGGAAATGGGGGACATGAGATAGTTCGTGTTGATGTCTTTTTCAATGTGGGAAGTGTTACGAACAGCTGATCGGATCGGCAAAGCATGTTTCTGGAATATTATGGTTTTTTTTCCTGCAAGCGCTTTTTATGCAATTTTTGCAAAGCTATATGTGGAAGGAAACCGTGACCGAGGACAAGCTGATGGCATAAGATGTAAGTACAACTCCTCCGGTTTAATATGCAAAACAAATTATTGCGCTAGCTTACGCGGTTCAGGTTCTACAGGGATTTAAAGGGTTAACAATAACAATGTATTGAATAATGACTTTAAAAAAATACTATAAAATAGTGTGCAAATGTTTGGAATATAAGAAATAAATGAAAAATGTAAACATCTATGTTTAGTGAACTTTGCAGTGTTGCTCTGTGGTGCAGCTACGACACTGTAGCAAAGTTTACACACTATGTCTACTTGATCCACGTCTGACTCCACAAACGCATAATGTTTCCACACCACTGAAGTTTTTTTTTTACCTCTCTTTTCAACCAATGGCAGTCACTCTCCTCTCCAAATAACTTCTGCCTAGCTTTCCGAGCTTCCCTCGCGGGGGCCCATCACGTATAGGTGTAACGGAGAAACAGCCAATCAAATCGCAGCTTTTCGGGCATTGGAAAAAAATGGGTTTTTTTTTACACTGAACTGTCTGAGCGCGGGTTCGAGTCCTGGTTGGGACAAAGGTTGTGTTACATTATCAAAAGTTAAACACCATTTTCAATTTACTTATTGTGGATAACATTTATTTTTCACTTTGCTTTTAATTTTTATTTCATTATCATTTTATTTATATTATATAGTGTTATGGCCTGTGGAGCAATTTTTCTGCATTACGTACCTATACTGTCACAAAGTACATAACTCAGACTAAACTGTATCATCACAGTTTTGAGATGATACATACCAGACATATAGTCTACAATTATGCAGACATCCAACTTTTAATACAAAGACTAAAGCTAAAACTACAATACAGATACATTCTGATGACATAGAAAATGAAGCTTATACATAATTTAAACAAGGCATGTCTGTAATAAGTCATCTGTCTGCTTCCTGGTGGCTGTTGGTTTATATCTATTCATTTTCCAGCACAAACTCAGTACTGACATCATTACTTTATTCTAGTCATGCTCTTGCCAGCCTCCACTCTGCATGCTTTAAATCTGTTGCTCTTCTGCTTCTGCCATTCTGCGTTTCAGATCCTCAGCTATGCAGCCCGCCTCCTCTCCTTTCTCCTCCTCACTGTGGTCACTCAGAACCCTGTCCCAGCCTCCATCTTCATCACTACCAGCATTTTGACTCTGGGGTGTGGCTTATGCAAAATCCTGTCACTGCTGAGATTTCTTCTGCTATGATGGGTCATTGGAGTCTAACTGCCTAACAGTTACATTTATTTCTGTATCTCAATAAATCATGTTCAGTTTTTCCACATGATCTCTCCTTATTGAACTGCTTTTGTAGATAAGCTTCAAGCCAGAAAGCAACAATACCTAAACCAAAAATATTATCATCAGAAGTGAGACAGTGTCTGGACTATCTCCAGCTGTGTTGCATGTATTAAAGGTAACTTCAGACACTGTCTGGTTGTCATGTCTGAAACAGGCTGTATAGTCACACAGATAAAAGACAGCAGTCATGTTTCTAATATTACAAATCAACCAGAAAGATTATAAAGATAAAAGCTGTGAGACCCCACTAGAGAAAGGATGGCTTGTTATCATTACATGAAGTGATTTAGAAATAATATGTAAGCTTTCAGGGCAGCACTCACAGCTTTTTAAAACTGATTACCTGATGGTGAGCACACACAGGTATATAAACATACAGGTGAACTCTAAGAGGTTATAAAGACGAGAGCTGTGCTGCTATTTTTACAGAACACAATTTATTCACATTTTTATATTTACAATCAGTTTTTATTTATATAAACAAAATAAACATTACAAAACTAGAACAAAACTATCTTATGTACAATATCAACAGTTTCTCCCCTATTTCCTCTTTTCTTCCACCCATCTTTGTCTCTCTGCCTCGTAGAAAGGAGACTCCTGAATCTCCTTCCAGGTGCTCTTGGCTCGTGAGCCAAAGCCAACCAGCTGATCATTCTCAGAGGCTTCTGCAGCAACACTCACTCTGCTGGTCTTGTAGTTCAGAAGAGTCTTTATCTCTGTAAAGCTGAGGGCATACTGTACAAATGAATGCAAGCTCTCCTTGCCATGCCCTTCTTCCACAGAGGTCCCTGCAGCCTCTTCCTTCTGGAGATCTTTGATCAGGTACATGGTGTACCCGACATCATTCCCCAGAAGCCACCGGAAAGATTTCCCTTTATGCTTTCCAAACTGCAGAATGTACTCTCCCTGCACTTCCTTCATGTCAGACTCATCCCCTCCTCTCTGATAGATGACAGTCAGAGCATTCCGATGTAAACATCCTCCCTCACAGGTGCAGACTTGTCCTGCAGTTTGGGGTCATTTTTAATCCGTCGAGCTTCTTTTGACGGGTCCTGGAGAAGGTATCCAAGTGGCCCCTTGCGGAACACCACAGAGATTTTCCCTGGATATGGTGCAACTTTCTTCTGCATCTTAACAAGCAGTGAAAAAATAAACAATTATATTAAACAAAATTGATTCCAAACACAAACAAAGACATTTCAGGTTATAATCTTGCTGCTGGGTTTACACAGCAGGATGCAGGAGAACAATAACGAGACACAATTTGAAAGAACATTGACAACATTTGGGATAAAAGTGTTTTTTACTCCAGGTATAACAAACTGTTCTGTCTGTAAATAAACACCTTTCATGGTTGAATGATTATTGGCATATCTGCAAAATTTGTGGTAACTGCTTAGTAGTCATGGCACATAAGAATTGCTGGTAGATTAACAACATATATGTATTTAAGCTATCGTGTTTATTCATACACGAGTGGGCATTGCTCATGTTAGAGATATCAAAACAGATTTTCGCATTGATAAGGTGACTGACCATTACAACATGAAAGCAATACATTTTCTTTTAAAGCAGGTTCAGTCATTTAGCATGTCATCTCATAACAAGACACTTATTGGTTATTTAATTGTACCACATTATAGTAATGTCAGTGTCACAGCAGTCGGAAACCTACAAAGTTTATTTAATGGCAAAACACGTCAATGAAACACGCAATTTATTTAAGGATCACGTTCATTCATTTTTTACCGTGCCACTTTACAACAGCAGATGCAAACTCCCACCGTCTTTAACTGAGCGATGGATGCTTCGTAAATGCAATCGCAACACGCCTATTACCTGTAATATACACCTGTAAATGTATTCTGTTGGTTTACTGTTATTTCAAACGACGTTTCTTACCTTTGATCAATGAATGAGGAGCGTTGGGATGTGTTGCGAGCGGTGAGTTACTTGTTTTCTCTCCCGAAACGTAAAAGAGGAGATTTTTTATCTCAAACTCCCAACAGCGCCGGAAGACCGTAGTGGCCAAAAATATATTACATCCGTAGTGGTTTAGCACTACCATAGAGAATGAATGGGAAACGGTTTAGGCCGTTTAGCTAAACAATCCCAGGCTCCCGGCGGGTACCCTCCCATGTATAAGTATAGAGGCTCTCTCAGCAGCCATTTCCAGTATAAAGAAACGTTCCATGTTTTTCACTGCTCTGGTTTAAAAGCCCACTTCACACATCTCTCTGCATTCTATGAACTCCTTGCAGACTATTCATTTCATTTTCGGTCACTACAATTCGTATGAGTGAGGTGTGAGGGCAGGGTGGGAGGGTTGGAGGTGATGGGACAGGCGGGACGAGACTTCTGTTGATCTTATTAAAGTGAGATTGGCTTTTCTGGATAATTATTATGTCATAATATTTTGGCTATAATATACAATATCAGAATCATGTGTGCCATGGGGATTTATCATTGGAAGAAGGCTGAGAGAACACTACTCTCCAACTTCACAAGCTCTTGCTGTGGGGTTAAATATTGTGGAAACCCGATGAATTTCTACAACTGCAAAGTCAAAGACGAAAAGACACAAAATTATAATATTACAGTTGTACTGAGTGTATAAAGCAAAGTCAGTCAGTTTGCAGTGGTTGGAAATCAAAAGTCCTCGCAGCTGTGCGCACGTTGAAATACAAAACAGATTTCAACCCTTAAAATGCAAATAATTTCTCCATATACCCCAGCTGGTAAAAGGTTGAATTTAGTAAAATGGTTTAATAGGAACTGTGTACATTTACCCCTGGAGGGTCATTAATGCATGCTGTTGTTTATTAGCCCAATTTTTGCTGATTCCTGGAGCACACTGACATTGGAGCAGCAGAAACAGAAATGACCTAACAGATCACATCTAAGTAAAGTTGGTTAACTTTGTGTTAACACAGGTCTGGCACAGAGGACTCTAGCAGTTCAACAGTTCTGGGTCTAATTAGTCGTACATGCCCTAAATGTTTAAGCTGGTGAAAAGTTTGCACTGAAGACCATTTCAGCACCCAAAATTGTCTACAATGGAGCTATACTGTTGTAGTAGCTGTACTATGTAGATAACACTGTGTTGCTGAAATGTGGCCTTCCCAGAAAAATGCACATTCAGGATGGAAGCATATGTTACTCCAATACTTGTATACGCCTTTCAGCACTGATGGTACATTTTCAGATGTACACGCTTCTGGTTCCTTGGCGCAAGGTTTTGAGCTGAGCAGTGACAACAAGCCAGATGGTCCTTCTGGTCTCCTCTGGAGGTTGTAGCATCCATGTTTTTAAAAAAGACATTTCAATTTGTCTGACCACAGGACAGTTTTACATTTCGCCTCAGTCCATTTTAAAGGAGCTTTGGTCCAAATGTAAACAACAGAATCATGTTTGTTTTTTAGTACCGCATGAGAGGCCCAATGATTGCCCTTCATCCCAGAGATTTTTCCAGATTCTTGGACTCTTCTAATAATGTTATGTATTATAGATAATGAAATCTTTACAATTTTATGATGAGGAATGTTATTCTGAAACTTTCCACAGTTTGCAGATGCACTTTTTTGTAGTTCAGTGAACCACCGCCAATCTTTACTTTTGAAAAACGCTGGTTCTCTAAGATGGTCTTTTTATATTTGTAGTACCATTTAATTTTACAGCATTTTACACCATTTACACCATTTAATTTTACAGCATTTACAGCTGTAAAATTCAGTATAGTATCACTTTAGTTAACAACCAGACTCTGCACTCACAGTCGATTAATACGTGTGTGTATGTTGAGTTCATTAGACCACTTGTGTCTCTTTGGCTTTATACATCATGCTATCTTATACAGTTATTGTTTGCACATTGGTAATTGTGGTTACATTCCTTTATTAGTGCATTAAATACGTGGTTTTAACACTGCATATCAATGCATATCAGATGCTTTAAGCCACATCATGATAAAGCATCTTAAACGTTCAATTTGTTGTGCAGGTGGCCCAATGTGTAGGCTTATTAGTTATATAGAATTAATGGCCTCTTGCAGTATTTTTTTTTTTAAAGTAAACAGATTTTCTGCTGTCCTTCTAACTTTGTAACCTCTGTTTTGTGGACACAGTGTGCATTTCTTTTCCCTATCACAGCTGTCTAGTCCTTGAGCTCTGGCAAAAACTATAAACAGTTAGCTCCATAAATATGTATAATCTTGGTTCTGTACATTAGCACAATATTAGCACAATATGTATTATAAATGAAACAACTCAAATGCAGTTGAAGTGCAGACTTTTGGCTTTAATTCAGTGGGTTTGAACAAACACATAAAAATGTGATGAACTAATGCTTTTTTAACCCAATCACTTCATTTCAGATGTAACTGGACAAATATATAACTAAAAATATTGACCGTATGTTGTCTGTTCAAAGCAAAACCTTCCAAATGATAGCACCACACATCAAATCAACTCCATTTCTTTTATCTGCTTAATTAATAATGACATAATGAAGGAATTGCCCACACCTGTCCATTGAATAGCCTTTTAGTTCCTTTAAAAAAAAAACAGTGGCCCCTGTTACAGAACTGAAAGGCCTAAACGCTTCATCCAGTTTGAATATGGATACCCTCAAATGAAAGCTTAGAGTCTGCACATTATGTCGGTGGAATACATGTATGTGTCAGTAAACAGGTTAAAAAAAAAAAAACTTGTGTCAGTGTCTAAATATATATGGAGATGCAGTGTTCAGATAAACAATTCACTTGGCTTAAGGTGACTGTTGTTGTGATCTAGTGGTTTATAAATAAAAATGAATTGAATAAATATTATGTGTCTGTGTTTTATTATTATTAATGCAGTAAAAGTATATGATTAGACAAATGCAAATCAAAACATAATATGATTTGTTTTTTCAAAAGAAGGCAAGAACCTCAGCAAACACAGTAAACTCCCCCATAATACACTTTCCCTCTCCTCCTATATGTCCTAAATCCAGAGCCACATCCTCCTCCACTCTGGACATCTAATCCCCATAAGCCTGCATAATGCCCTGGCCAGGGTGAGCGAGTAGAGGAAGTGAAGAAAGGCAAGTTCAAGTTTAATGACCTTGCAAGTGGATTACAGGTCGGCTAGGGTTCAAAAACGGCTCTGCGCGGCCTTGAGCGCAGCCTGAGGACCAAAATCAGCTGACACAGAAAAGAAAGGTTCACAAATCAGGACATATGTAAGTCAGGTTAAGGGCAGGGACATGTATGACCTCTGTACTGTGTACGTGAAGTTGCAGAGTGTTCCTCTGCCACTAGAGGGAAGCAGAGCCTCTCATTTTCTTCAGTCGTAGCTGAAGAAAGTGTGTTACTTGGCCTATGCTTCCTGGTGGGCTGATACAGCAATGACCTGACCTAAAGTATCACAGAGGTGGATTAAGATGCCTCTGGTCAGAGGATTAACTAAAAGCTGCGTTTCCATGCAGCATCTTTGCAGCTCCATGTCCTTCTGTTATTGTTGCAGCAATTGTTGTTGTGATGTCTGAGTGACTGGGTGTAAACACAATGCAGGTCAGCGATAGTGAGCAGTGTAACTGCTTCACAACCTTTTCAGCATTTGTGTAGATCGTGATTTGCTTTTTGCATTGTTTTAAACTCCCACTCAGGTTCAAAACAGGCCCACTCTGAAACCACTCACATGTTTGAAAATGTGTTTGTGAGCAGACAACAAGCTTGTCTACTTGTAAGTCTGTTGCACAAGAACCAAAACCGCAACTCTGACCACTCGCTTGAGATTTTGAACGTGTCCTCTTCCCCTGCTTGTACCTGGCAGAGGTACTTTTTCCGAGCATCGGTGATACTCTAATAAAGCTACACTCAGCAACGTGATTTAAAACCTTATACATGGAAAATGTCACCGATTGGTTCTGAGCTTCAGATGATTTTATCACATCAAAGCACTTCAAGCTCATAGACTTGCTGTCTAATGACATCAGGTGACACAGGAGAATCTTACATAATCACAATAGCACAAACCCACTCTAACATCTTGCATCTTGCAGAGGCATGGTAAATGGATTGATTCTTATATGGTGCTTTTCTACTCCCCCGGAGTACTCAAAGCGCTGTATACAACATGCCTCATTCACCTATTCACACCCACTCATACAACCACTTCCTTCTATACTTAAGTGCAATCTAAACATTCACACACATTCACACTCCGATGGACGGATTGAAAAGCAACTTGGGGTTAGTATCTTGCCCAAGGATACTTGGCATGCAGACTGGGAAAGCCAAGGATCGAACCACCAACCTTCCAGTCAGTAGCTGATCTGCTCTACCACCTAAGGCACAGCCACCCCAATAACCCCATCTGCCCTAATACAGATGCCATCATGTAAGAAGCGATCCTATACAAATGTCTGTGTGGAAAGTATGTTACGACTTGCTAAATTAAGTCGTAACAAGCACCTCTGTCTTAACTCTGTCATTTCCTGTCCCTTCCAACAACTCTCCATCCACTGCAGATATATTTCTAAAGGTCATGTTTCTCTGCACACATACGGAAATGTGAATCTGCCGTTGCCGTTCTTGTTTTTGGTTTTGATTTTTCTTACCCTATGTAAGAGCCTTGAGAAAATGCCCCAAGGTTTTCAGGAAATGCATTTCGGGAACTGAAATGTGCTTCAGTTAAAGCTCGATGATTATGTTATACTTGCCTGTACTTGCACAATTCGTTTTGAGAAGGTTTGGTAATCCCTAAATGTTTAGAATTCATGCAAAGAATGCATGTAAAGCCGAAACTGCACTGTAATTACATTTTGTTGTTTCCAATATTTGGGATTGTTAAACTGTTTCGTAACTTTTTGTTTGCTGTATAGACTCAGTTTTACAGTATAATGCTGTAAAATTTATAAAATGTTACTGCTACCACTCTTACATCCGATTTGGGGGGGGGTTACACCAGCATTGTAAGCTGTTATTGTCCATTTTTGTCCTTTGTAAC